CATAGCCATGCCACCAGGCGTTTTATATCCCAATTAAGAAAGTGGCTGTTTTTCTGTCCAGAGCACTAAAAAAAAAATTGAAAACAGGAAAGGAGTTAAAAAAGGGACTTGCGAAGGATTTTTCAGCAAAGCTAATTGAGCTTTTAATTTGCCCAAAATGGCTTTTATCCTTTCACTCCGCTTTTTAAATTACCTAACGAAAGTTTTTTTTTGTTTTTTGTTTTAAACTTCTAACGGTTTTCGGTTTGCTGAGTTTGACGTCATTATAACCTAACCAATTCTAAACTTGAAATGAAAATACACAATGCGCAGAATTGTTTGAATACCAAATTATCCCACAGAATGGTAAATCTCTACCAAATCCCCTAAATTCGATGACGATTCTAAGAAAACATAAATCTGGCTAGATCTTCCCATCTCCAGATTCACTCATGTTTTAAATCATGCCATGTACTTGAAACCAGCGTAACCTGGAACCTTTCCAGAATGTGCTAAACCCTTTTCTTCTTCTTCTTCTTCTGCTGAACGTGTCCTTCCTCTTGGGATCACAAGACGGTGAAGAATGGCCTTTTTCCTGGCAGGAAAACCTGGAAATGTCTTAACAGAGCGAACAATATAAGCACCCTGGTTTCTGTTGCTTTGATCAAATGGATCACGAGCTGTTCCGCTGCTCTTCCTTGTTGACCGCTCAGGTGTCTGGCTGGGGGAGATGATCCACCCCGCACCTGACTTGGTCATCAGGACACGCTCAGGCACCCCAATCCCTCTTTTTTTCCTCTCATTTCATCTAAGCTAGGGGTCTGCAATCTTAAACACTCAAAGAGCCATTTGGGCCCATTTCCCACAGAAAACACCAGGAGCCAATAATTTCACAACTGATGTGAGTGGGTGGGCGTGGCCAACTCAATGTCACTCCCACCCAGTCACCTCCTGCTCTGGAATATGGAGCAGAGTCTCCATCCCCCGCCATCACCCTTACCTTCTCAGGCCAGGCGAGGAGTGACGGGGAGGGAAGGGGCCAGCCAGTGGTGGGATCAGCCAACAGGGAGCCGCAACAGAGTGCCCAAAGAGCCGCATGTGGCTCCAGAGCTGCAGGTTGCAGACCCCTGATCTAAGCAGAAAGGCCAAAAGGTTTGGACATTGACTTCCCCCTTTGCACATCAAGAGCTGACTTCAAGGGCCAGCCTGGAGGATGTTTTCCCACCCACCCTCCCCTGCCCGGAGGCTCTTTCCCCTTCTCGGCCCTGGAACTCCCAGAGCTCCCATGGCTGGCTCGGGAATTCTGGGAGTTGAAGTCCACTGCTGGTAAAGGGGCCGTAGTTGCCCACCTCTGTTTTATAAGAACAGAAGGAGAGAGGTGTGCACGCACCTGTCTGAGAAAGGCCTACCTGTTGCAACCAACGTTGCTAATTTAGAGCGAGGGAGGGAAGATTTTCATAAGCCCCTGAAAGAACTAAACTGTGCCCACAACTTTGCCATTCCCTAATCCACCAAAACCGGGGAAGGTAGTTGGTGACTGTCCAGGATTATCCCGAACATTTGGCAAAGTCAGTCCCTCGGGTTCCTCAAAAGAAATGGAGATTGGGAGCTCCAGCAGCAGCCTCCCAGGTCTTTTATCTTCACGAGCTCTTCCCTCAGACCTGGCAGAACCTCTGGGTGATGCTGAAGGCCAACTTCGGCCTATGCTTGTGAACTCCACAGTCTGGGGGCTCTTGAGAGGTCCTTGACATTTTTTTTTTTTTGCTCTGTCGGTGATGCTACTATTTCTAGTCCTCCGAGCTGTAGAGCGTCAAGCTTAGGGGCTGCCAGTGCCAGCCCCTCCCCCTGAACCATTCTAGAAATGCAGCTCTTCCAGGGGTGGAAATTGGTGCCATCAACCAGGGTGCCAGGTACCACGGAGCTGACCCCGAAACCTCCCGTTATCTTGAGCGTACTCTGAGAGCGGCCGTCCCCCTGGACAAGGAAACCGCCATGCGATTCTCCACGTTTCCACCCGGAAGGCAGCTGGGTTAACACCTTGAGTTTAACATCAGCCCCCCCCACCTCGTCCCTTTCCCCGCAGCCAGGAAAGTCCCTAAAACAGGCAGGAGCCCCCCCCCCGCCCCCCAAAATTGGGAGCATCGACCCTTTTGGGGTTGTTTGCATGCATTTTAGGCTCGTGGTGGTGGAACTGGTCAACTCCCTGCAGCCAACTCGCCACGAGACAATTGAACAATTCTATTTATTTTATTTTATTAATAATAATTTATAATAATAATTTATTTATTTAATAATGTTTGCTCTTTACACTTCATTCGGTGCCTCCCTCTTGCATTCTTTCTTTAATTATTCTGTTCCACTATTTATTTGGATACTGATGTAACTCGTCCCGCAGCGAGTTGGCCGCAGCGAATTGTTGTCAACTCCGCAGTGCTGCTTTGTCTAGCAAACCGAGGCCCCCTCTGAGAGGAGAAGGCTCAAGTTACTTATAAATAAGGAGAACCTGGCCAGCTTCTCTATTCCGGGCCACGTAGATGGAATGGGTCTGCCCAGGATTGATCCCCAGAGGCCGGTTCAGGAAGGTGGTTGCAAAGAAACCCCCTCTTCACCTGCCTCTCCTGTCGTTTCTCCCCCAGAATGTCCGCCTGTTCAGACGGGCCACGAAGGCAGCGGCGCCAACAGCAGCGAAGCGGCCCCCTCCCAGCCAAGCCTCCCAGACCTCACCGCTCCCGACCAGCCTTCCGAAGAAGTCTTTGGGACGGAGGAGGAAGAAGACCCCGACCTTGCCGTCCCCCAGAAGGAGGATCCTCCCGAGAGTCCCCAGCCTTACCCCTCCCCGAGCGGAGAGCCTCCCCCTTCTCCCCTGGCCGAGGAGGGGGCAGCAGCCGAAGCCGGCAGCGAGGAGTCTCCGGGGAAGTCTCCCTCCAAAAAGAAGAAGAAGTTCCGCACCCCGTCCTTCCTCAAGAAGAGCAAGAAGAAGAGCGACTCCTGAAGACCCTGCCCCCCCCCCCCCCCCCCGGGAAGGCCGGGCCTTTATGCCTCTCCCCTTTATTAATCCCCGGAATATATCAGATTCTACCCTGTGCTTTCTGTTTGGTCTTTCTTGTTTAAAAAAAAAAAGGGACAAATAACACTATAGCTTGACTGTTTTTTGAGTTTATAACTGGAATTTAGCCAAGCAGAAGGTGATGATTCTGTGTGCGCAAACCCCCCCCCCCCCCCCCCCAAAAAAACCAGCCAAAACGGGGAGCATCCCGAGCATGTGAAGGAAGAGAGGCTTTCCCTGGTGGGAGAGCCCCTTGGTTAAACGTTGAAGTTCTCTCCCTGCTCCCTCCCGGCTTCCTATGTGAAGGCAACGCGCTCTGCTCACTCCTAAGTCTGCTCTGGTGCAGGTGGCTTTGCGTCCGGCTGGCGGAGCGGAGCCCATTTGTGTGCAGGGGAAGGGCCCCCCTCTTGCAGCCGCTTCCTCTGCCTTGCCCCGTGGCTTCACGGCCGCTTTCTGCCTTGCTTGGTGTCGTAACATCGCTGAGACTGGAGCCTATTTTTGTGTCTTAAGAATGAAGTAACTTGTGGCATTTTCTTGCTCATCCCCCCTCCCCTTCCCTGCCTGTTTTCTATTCAGTTTAATAATAGCCTTTTTCCACAGAATAATCAGCTATTTTACTAATTTGTTTTCTAGCAAAGCATTGTACTCAAGTCACTTAATACCGATGAAAGATAAGTTCACATCGTTGGAAAATAAAATGTATTCCTAGCAGGCAGCAGACTGGTTCCCTTCATTTATGCGGGTCTTCCTCCTCCTAGGTTGCACCAAGGACCGATGTGGGTGCCAATCCCAGCACCAGGGACTGGTCCACAACCCGGTTCAGAAATCCAGCGAGAGAACGAAGCCTGCCTCCGAAATCTGTGAATGACCCCAACCCTTTTTTTTCTTCTCCTTGACATAACGGAGAGACAGGACCAGAAATCACTCCACCTTGTTCCAAGCCAACCTTGGATGACTCTTAAAAAGCTGAGTACCAACCTATCGCGGGACTCTGGTGGAGACCATATATTCTATTCTGTACCATGCTTAAAAGGAAGCTCTGCCGAAAACATACATTTTGTTTTATTGTATGGAAAAAAGAAAATAGTCATCTTCATGCACGTTTTTACGCTGTGTACAAAATACCACATTGGCCATTTCGGTAATACAAAAGAAAGGATCATTAGACATATACCCATCATCGTTTTACAATTCAAAATGTCTCAGAAGTCCATCAAAAGGGACTTGGCTGTGGTAAGACACTTAGTGAAATACAGAAATAAGAGCCAAGGTAGAACTTGACAGAAGTGCCTCTGGAATGGTGCATTTGGTGTGGTCTCTTCCTCCAATCCAAGTCTCTCGGGAACAAAAATATTGAAAACTATTTTGATGCGAGCACTTTTGTCACCTGCGCATGGTGCCAGACCATCGGTGCTGTACTACATTACAGAAATGTAGACGAGAGCCTCTCCACCAGCCCCTCAATCTCGTTGGCCATTGGTTCCATTCAGACCCTTCTCTTATCCACCTCATGTTTCCCTAATGTTCAACGGAAAACTGCCTTCCTGTAATTTAGATCCCTCTTCCGCCGCTGAACCGGCATTCTAGGACGAGAGTGAGATCCTATGGGTTTTTTATTTTATGTAATTACGATCTCAGAATGAATCCATGTAGGAAAGGGCTTTCGCTGGGTTTGTGTACTCAAGAAGCAAAAAAAATAGGGGCGTGGGTGGGAGGGAATGAAGACATAATTAAAAGAATGAGGTTCGGGAGGCGAAAAGGGAAGAAGCACAAGGACAGGAAGACAAAAGGGAAGAGGCACCAGGACACGAAAAAAGGGAAGCGGCACAAAGGCACAAAAGAGGCACAAGGACAAAAAAACAAGGCACAAGGACACAGAAAAGAGACACAAGGAGGCTGAAGAAAAAAGGGAAGAGGCATAAGGACATGAAGAAAAGGCCCAAGGATGCTGAAGAAAAGAGGGAGGAGGCACCAGGACAAAAAGAAAGAGGCACAAAGACACAAAAAAGAGGCATAAGGACACGAAAAGGGGCACAAGGACGCTGAAGGAAAGAGGCACAAGGGCACGGAGAAAGAGCACCAATCTAGGTGAAGGCAAATGGGGAGAGCCTTATGTGAGACAGGCAGCAACAACCTTCACCTGAAACTTAGAGATGCCAAATCCAAGGTTAAGTCACCAAACATGACATTGTTTGGGTCTCACGGCCTCATTACAAAGACCTTGTGGGCCAACCCGTAAAGGTGTGCGTGTGTGTGTGAACGTCCTGCTTTGAATGAGGAAATTCACAGGTCTTTCCAGCTGGAAGGAAGAGGACTTTGGTTGTAGGAGGCTTTGTTCATGATGCACTGAGCATCTTCACCATCCTATTTGTAGGAGGGCAGCTTTGTCCTAAGGCTCGTTTTCATGGGTCATTGCTCACACCCTGGCATACACACACACACACATACACACAGTCCCATGGGAAGAGCCAGATCGGAAGGCAGAAGGACCTCGGCAGGCAATGCAGGCAAAAGACGGTGGAAGGCTGCTGTGAAAAATACACCGATGGCCCTGGTTTGGTCATCCAAGGATCGACTCGGTTTCTTGAATTGGAGTTGAATTCTTGAGTTTCCAGGGAAACCGCCATCCAAGTAGTTCACTCCTGTTTGCTTTGCTTTGGCATGCACCGAAGCAGGACAAAGGGCAGCAGGAACAAAGAGGCACAAGCGGTGAAACAAACTTCAGCTCCGGCCAGCCAGTACACTGCAAGCCCAAAAACCAATTTTAAGGACCTTTGAGCAACTTTCCCCAGAGGTGCCAGGAGCAGACCCAATGTACCCGCCCCCCACCCAAATGAATTCCCAATTAGGAGTATGATAATGGGGAGAGTTGTGCTTCATTTGGCTAGTAACAGTGGTGGTATTTACCGGTTCGGCTTGGTTTGGTTGAACCGGTAGCTCCAAGGATCATCTGTGAGCAAAACCCGGTTCGCTCCAACGATGAGCTGCTGGGCCCATTCCTCCCACTTTCCCCCGGGGCCTATTCTTACCTTTATTTCCTGCTTTTCAACCTCAGCTGCTTTGCACGGCACAACCGACTGCCGCACGTCAGCTGTTTTACACACAGGGCTTGCAGCAGAAGGTGAATTGCAAAGCGCGTGCTCATACCGAATCGATAGGAAAAGTTTTTGAACCCCACCACTGGCCAGTAACTTTGACCTTTGGAAACTGCCACCAACCACCACCTCCTCCCGAGGGACAGGCACTTCCTCCCTTGCCAGTTACCTGTTGCCGATGCCACCGGCCCAAGAGCCCTCGCAAGGGCGCCCAAACTTCTTAGGATGCCCATCACAATCCCCTTTTGGCTATCCAGCCCTGGGGGGGGGGGAAACAGAGAAGAGCTTCAGGCTAGTTTCCTCACTAGGTTTTGCCATTTTAATAAAGGAGAATATTTGCAGTTCAGGTTCAACATGAGGAGTCGTTGGGGCTCTCTGAGCTTGCTGGTTTTCTTGCAGACGTTTCATGACCCAGCTAGGTAACATCATCAGTGCTAGAAGGGAGTGAGATTTGTGGAGAGGAGGAGGAGGAGGAGTCGTCCTTGGTGCTCTCTGAGCTTGATTCTCAAACTGCTGTGAAATTGCTAATGCAAAGATTAGAAGCAGCTTTTAAGGAAAGTGCTTCGTGTCGGTTCTCAAAATCTGCACACAGAACAATCTTCAGATGAATTAGCTCATCTCCCAGCTGGAGAACACTTCTCTTAAGTCCGCGGTCTCTAACCTTGACAGCTTGACAGCCCGGCAGGGGGAGGGAGAGGGAAGCGGCCCGCCACTTGTGCAAGTTGAGCAGTGTGTGCACCCCTGCTTGCCACTTGTGGGGCCCAGTGACAAACCGGCCACAGCCTGGTAGTGGACTGCAGGCCAGAGATTGGGGACCCCCTGCTCTAAGTAGCCCCTTTTTTTTCTCTTGTGTTTGCGGAAATGCCTGAATGCAAAGAGATGGACAGAGGTTACACCACGGGCTGCTCGTTCCAGCGAATGCAAGACCCGGAGCATAGCAGCTATGCCATTCAGCTCCAGAGCCAGAAATGTGGCACCTGAAGGCCATAAAATGTGACACCCGAAGGCTGTTGGCTTACCGTAGCTGGATACCACCGTAGACAAGCAAGGGACGACTACAGCTGCAGCTGCAAGCGAAGTAAACAAGGGCTGTTAAGACCTGAGAGCGTGCAACTCCGCAACTTTGCAAGGGACAATCCAGAGGTGTGGTATTCAGCCGGTTCTGACCAGTTCTGGCGAACCGGTAGTGGAAATCGTGAGTAGTTCAGAGAACCGGCAAATCCCACCTCTGACTGGCCCCACCCCCATCTATTCTCTGCCTCCTGAGTCCCAGCTGATCGGCTGGGTCTCCTTTGGTTGCCCTGCACAGGAGAACGGAGCTGGAAAGCAGGTTAGTGGGGTGGGGAAGGAATGGAGATTTTACAGTAGCCTTCCCCTGCCATGCCAACCAAGCCACGCCCACCAAGCCCACAGAACCGGTAGTAAAAAAAAATCGAATCCCACCACTGGGACAATCTCTACCACAAGCCTGCCAGAGCAGCCCCTCCCCTCCCTTGGAGTACTCTAAGCATGTCTCCACTCTGTTCTCTTACTTTTCCTCAAGGTTGAAACCAGAGCAGTTGCAGTTCTCTCCCCCATTAACCTCTCTCTCTCTCTTACTAGTGCTGTACAAAGCGTTTACAAGAGGAACTCACCTTTCCTTAAAGCATGAAAGCAGCTGCGTCTTTTGTAAGGTTGCCCCAGCTACCTCTGTGGGGGTGGGGGTGCACAAATGAAGCCGCCCCACCACCAGTGTGAAGAGGGATGCTCTCCCTCACGCAGCCATGCTTTGTGGAAGCACCTTTTTTGCGTGACCAGAAGGGAGGTGGGCTTCAGAATGGACCTCACGTCAGCTTCCGTTAAAGGCAACCTTCTCACCAGCAAGGGATGCCCCAAAGGTACTTTTCCCAAAAGGCAACCGGACTTTTATTTTCTCCCGAGGACATTTTGCTTCTCATCCAAGAACTGAAGAAGCTTCTTGGATGAGAAGCAAAATGTCTTCGAGGAAAAACAAAGTCCAGTTGCCCTTTTGAAAATGAACTTTTGGGACAACCACAAGTGGATGACTGACAATCTCCACAGACACTACCAAGGGGCCGTTTTCTGACAATATAATTCTCTTACTTTTTTTTTTTTTTGGTCCTCCTTTAATAAATACTACTGACAGCTCTGATCAAATGTCTTGCTTAGCAAAACGGGCCTTGCTAGGATTACATATTCCTAAAAACTAGCAATAATCTGGTATTCCCAACAAACAAGTGATCATTTGCAACCTTTTAGAGCAGTGATCCACAACCATTTTTATGCCGCGGCCTGGTACCGGCATCAGCTGGGCGCCGCAGCCCGGTACCAGCGTCAGCTGGGTGCCGCCATCTTTTTTTTGATGAAAAAGTGCTTCCGGTGAGCTTTCTACCCGGAAAAGCTCACCGGAAGCACTTTTTCATCAAAAAAAGACGGCGGCGCCCAGCAAACCAGCGGCCCGGTAGGACTTGTTCCACGGACTGGTACCGGTCCGCGGACCGGTGGTTGGGGACCCCTGTTTTAGAGGGTCGCTGAGGTCACTTGGAAGTTGGTTTGTTTCCTTAGGGTCACCTGAACAGTGCATAACACAATACTTTCAATAGTTCCAAGAAGGCTCCACACCCATTTGCGCCACTCAGGTGACCCTGAGGACACAGACAAACCTCCAAGCGGCCTCAACGACCCTCTAAAATGATGCATATGACCAGCTGTCTGCAAGGAATGTAAATCCTTCCGTTCCCTGCCATCCAATTAGAGCCGAAGAAGCTTATTAGATGCATAGCACATTTTTCCTGATTTTCATTCGCCGCTGACAAGATTTGTGCAAGAAACTTACCAAAAGAGTAAAACAACAGTCCTGTACCGAGGACGATGACGTTAGTGCTCCAGCCGATTAAAAGGAAGCCAGGAGCTGACAGCATGATTGCCTGTCCAGGGAAAATTAAAAAAAAACCAAAGGAATCAGAAATCTCCTCATTGGTCATCCCTTTTTTGCCACAGTTATTAAGTAAATCACTCCATTTGTTAGTAGTTAACACCTGGTAGGGGACCGTGAACCACAGGTCTAAAATACCCAACTTAGATACAGCTGGTGCTCCATGTAAAAAAGCTCACTCAGTAAGCGCTCAAAAGTTATAACGGCACCAAAGAAAGTGATTGATGACCATTTTCCCCCATTGCAGCTTTTGGTCCCATGATCAAAACTCAACTGGCTCATATTTACGATGGTCAGAGCGTCCCAGGGTCACGTCATTCCCCTTTTGTGACCTCTCTGATAAGCCAAGTCTGGGAAAAACCAGATTCCCTGAACAACCGGGTTACCAACTTTTTAAGAACTGCAGCGATTACCTTAACGGTGGGCAAGTAAGGTCGTAAAACGAAGGCAAAATTCACTTAGCAACTGTCTTGCTCAGCGACAAAAATTTCAGGCTCAGTTGTGGCTGTCAGTCGAAGACTGCCTGTGCCAATCTTTTCAAGAAAGAGGCTTGACTCGTTTACCGACGGACGGTGTCGGACTCTTGAGTTCGCTACGGAGCCTGTCAAGCTCTGAACACGCCTCACAGCAAGTCAGCTGGCCATGGAGAATGTCGCCTTCTCTCCGCTGACACCGGATCTGTCTTGCTGCTTGTGTGCTAGGCG